TGTGTGTGTGTGTGTGTGTGTGTGTGTGTGTGAAGAACTGAAGTGTATTCCATGTCTATATTGTTGACAGGTAAGATGATGCAATGTGTGAGATTATAATAATTATAATAGAGCCACTGTTTGCTGTTACATCTGTGCCTTGTGGATTTCAAAATAAAGGTGTATTTTAAAGATGACGGTGTGGAATGATGTTTTTATTTTGCAGTGACATAATTGACTTGTTAATCGTTTGATTATTTTATCAGTGTGCATTGATGTATAGTAACAATCCTACTGAGCACCGGTCCACATTTTACCACTCAGCCATTCAGCATCAAATATGCCTCTATTTCAGCCTTCCAATCGCTGCCTGTAGAGACACCAACACAGAGCAGATCTTTCCAGCAGCATAAACTTGCTATACTGATCAAGTTAAAGTAATATGCCTCATCAGATTGTAAGTAATCCAACAGCATTGTCAATTAATGACAAAAATAACAGCCATTATGCCCTTTTCTCCTCACATTGGCCTTGAGATATGGATCAACCCCAAAGAAAAAATACCAACTAGAATCTAATAAATGGCCTTCATCCATTCCACAGAATACAATAATCGGTTGTTTGATGTCATATTAATTATCATCATTACAACTTCCATTGAAGTAACATTCATTGCACTGCATGGCAGCAAAAGAGGGACAACATTTAGCTTAAGCAGAGTTAGGATTGTTCTGTAAGGAAATTTTATTTTCCTTACTTATTTTCATTTTATTTTCAGCCGCCAACTGAAACCTTATAAGATTTTATGGTAAAATGTTTGTAAAGCAAGATATTTTAGAAAGACATAGTTGGACTCGTCAAGCGTTGGTCAAGAGGCCTACAGTATGAAAGTGGCTGTGAAATGACTGAGTTTAACAGCACCCTGGGGTCCAATACCAAGCTGCAGCACATTAGTTACTAAAATGACTAATCATAAGTCTGAGAGCAGCAGTGCAAGAGCAACAGCCAAATCCAGGGAGCATGACTGGGGCAGAGAAGTCACCTAGAGTTGATAGAGAACCTGAGGAAAAACAGAAGAGCGAGGCTGGAGAGGGTGGTAGTCTGAGGGGAGAAAAGGGGGGGAAGCAGTGAATGAAGGAAAGAAGGGGAGGGGTAAACCTCCTAAAAGGAGATAAATAGGCGAAAGAGGACTTTGGAACCTCGCAGTCACTCATCCCGACAGCCACATCCACTGCTCGCCTGCCCCCCCTCCTTCACCTCCAGCTCCTTTCTCCACTTATCTGCTGCAAGCTTTCAATCTGCTGGACCACTGCAAAGAACCAGTGAGTAGCATCCACACCACACCTCAACATTATGGTTACACGGTTCTAAAGAGGATTCTCAACAAACACTTCATGTGTTTCTGAACACAAGCTGATGGATGCATCTTTGTATACACATTTAAAGCAAGACACATCAAAACAGAAAGTAATCAGAAGTGAATTTCACAAATTTAGCTGCTTTTCTGATGAAAATCACACAGAATGTTTGAAGTTATACGGAACAAGGTAAAACTCAATCTCTGGCTTGTCTGTCTACCTCAACACGTACGTATAGAGGGAAATAGTGAATGCACAAACTGTAGAACTAACTGAAGATAAATGGGTTTTCTTTAGAAGCTCTTGCCAACAGTTCACTCTCTAAAAAAATGCTTCTACTGTACTATGTAAATATAAAGAATAAATTATTAATGCACAGATTGTCTTTTCTATTATAAGCCCCAATTTTTTTATTGTTTATAAGTTCATTTTTCCTTGCCTGTGACTTGTTTGTAAATGCCAATATCACATAGATACAGACTTTCCAGTGGCTCCTTACCTGCTTTACTACTGTTCTTATTTTCTTTGGTATAATCTATTAATTATTTCTACTTGTATTGTAACTATTTTGTCTTTTGTTTATTTGTTTATGCAACAGTGTGGACTGGTGGCTTTTTGGCTTATCAGTGATTTAAATGCCTTATTTAAACCAACAAAACTACCACTTCCTCAATTTATTCCTGTTATTATGGGAGATATTGGTTTATTTTTAGTCAGTTCATAAAATTAATTGAATTAAAAACTCGTTACTGTAGATCTTAACTATTAAGTACTGTAGTACTTAACTATTAAAAAAAAAAAAGTTACTTTAATTAACCTCTACAGATTCACAATTATGAAAAATTGCAGCCAACTTCAGTTCATCAATGAAACCAATAAGATTGAGTGAATATATCAACTCATCTGGATAAGCAGCAGTGTAAAGTTGCTTCCTTTGTGTTGTTTACCTTACAGTAGTCCCTCCTACTGAGCATCCATGAGGAAAACTCTCCTTAACAGGAAGAAACCTCCAGCAGAACCAGGCTTAGAATGACAGACTTTCTGCAGTGACGGATTGGAATAATTAAAGTAATTCCTGAAAGATTACTAGAAAAATATGCAACAGGACTTTATATAATAGGGTTACATGCGGTTATTCAGGGGGATATATTTTCTATTAAGCAGAATCTTGATGACCATAATGGGACATGAGAAACCTGTTTCTTTAAAGACAAATCAGGGCTATAAAAACATGGACTTCCCATCTGCTTCATCATCGACTCAGACTTACTCTTAATGCATGTGCAGGCATGCAAACAGAGCACAACAGAGCATAGCAACTGAATGCAGGGGAGGAGGGGCCATAGGGAGGGCTGAGAGTGTTTTTTATCTATCCCATGAAACGCAGTATCATTGCTGCACCTGTGCATAGAGATAGGTACAGCGGAGAAGTAAAAACAAACTGTTTATGCATTCATCAGAACTCAAGGTCCATTTCATTCAAGAAAATTGAACTTATTTCCTTGAGGTGCAGAAACTATGGTCCTCTTTGCTAAGATCCTAAAAACTAAGAAACAGCACATCTGCAGCTGAATGCATCCGTCTGACTAAAGGATTGTAATATTTTTTTCTCCAAATGTTTTTGTATTTTTCAGACCGTTTGTCTCTGTCTAACCTGAACCAACCATGGAAACCAACAGCAAGACTCTCTCCTTCTCTGATGCCCTCTTTCACCTGCTTGTCATGATGCTAAATCTTATCCCAGGCGTTCTTTCAATGCCAGTCCCAACAGACATCCCTATGTGCACAGCCTCAGAACCAGCCCAATACAGCCTGACGTTCACTGGAAAATGGACCCCAGCAGCTTTCCCTAAGCAGTACCCTATTTACCGCCCACCTGCACAGTGGTCCAACCTTATTGGTAAAGACACTGAATCAATTTTCTGATAAATACTGTAATATTTCATTATTTCATATGCTTCAAACTAAATATATGTGCATTGATTGGTCAATAAAATAGCAGACTGCTCATTCATTGGCCTTTAGTGATTTAAGAATGTAAATAAAGGTCAGACCTGCATAATAGTGTATATAAAGCCTCCTCCTTTCTTCTATCTCTGCTCAAGGGGTGACCCACAGCTCTGACTACCACATGTGGCAGAGTAATGAGTTTGCCAGCAACGGGATGAGGGATTTTGCAGAGAAAGGCGAAGCCTGGACGATCATGAAGGAAGTCGAGACGGCAGGAGAACAGATCCAGAGCGTTTATGGGATCCTCTCTGCTCCTGCTGTTGTGGGAGGAACAGGACAGATGAGCACACAGTTTGAGGTGTTTGCCAGGCACTCCTATGTAAGTCTCTCTACAGCTGGCTGCTCTTAGGCTGCTCACAGATTACATGGCAACTCATTAACAGGTCAGCAAACGCAGCAGGCTGACTTTAGCTAATTTAATTTAATTTCTCAAACAACATTTATCATGAGAAATATTAAACATAACCAGCTGCTCTGGGTTTTGTTCAACTTGAACTTATTTTCTATGAATCAACATGAAGATCTACTTATTCATATCAAGTATTCTAAAATTCCAAATCAGTGTTACGACACGGTTGCCTAACAGGTTCAGATCCTAAGTTTAAATCCAGACCCGAGGCCTTTCTGCATGGAGTTTGCATGTTTTCCATGTGCATCGATACCACATTGAAGGGTTTTCTCCAGGTACTGGTATATAAATTTATATAAAGAACTAACTAATGTACTATAAAGCACACACTGAAAAAAACAGTATGAACACAGAAAAAGGAATCTCTAAACTGACAAAACAAACTAATTGTAACCATTACAAATATACACCAATATCCATCCATCCATTCTCTAGAGCTGGTACCTGTCTCAAGGTTTCATTAGGTGAGAAAGAGCTTCTTATATACGGTCATAGTTATGACTATCAAAGAAAATGGCAAACGTCAGCTCACTTTGTGACTAAACAGACCAAAACGAAGTTGTTGTGTTTAGCACCCTTAGAATTAATAGACAGAGTCCAGCTCACTTTAATTTAATCATCAGAGTCTAGCTGCACATTAGAGGAAAAACTAGCATCATAAAGACCAAGAAACCCAGCAGACGAGTCATGAAGGCAGTTCTGGTTCAGTTTTAAGGATGGTTAGGTTAAAAAACAATATCCCAACCTCAGATCAATCAATTTTTTGAGAATGGAGAGAGGATACTGGCCTCCTAAAACATGGACATGGACAAGCTGGACAAGGAGACCATAGATAAGAGAAGCAGCCAAGAGGACCATGTTGGTTCCTAGAGAGATCCACAGGTCACACTGATTGATCTGCTCTGAGGACAAGTGTTAGTTATGCAATCCACAAAGGTTCCCGTACCACCATGAACGTCATATTTTAATAGTGGTGGTGGCATCATGCTGTCTTTTATTAGAAAGAAACAGGGAAGCTGGTTAGAATTGATAGAAGATGGATGGAGTTAAATTCAGGACAATCCTGGAACAAAACCAGTTAGAGGCTACAGAGGAGCTGAGACTTGAGTTGAGTTATAGCAACACAACCACATAAGAGAACAGAACTATGATTAAAATGGCCTAGTCAAAGTCCGGACCTAAATCCAAATGAGAATTAGTGGAAAGACTGATGATGACAAATAGTTTCCATCCAATCAGACCAGGCCTGAGCTGTTTAGCCAAGAAGGAACCAAAGGTGGGTCTACTAATTCCAGACAGGGAGGGAATTAGAAAAATATTTTGTAATTATTGCAAACCATGAACAATTTCTATTCCACTGCTCTGAATTTGTCTCTTGAAGTCTGAAGTCTGTGGCTGGAACAAGACTTACTACGGAACAGTTTAAAGTTTTTTTTGCACATCTTTCTGTATACAGATGCTGCACACTCTGGGACATTAGGGAGCTAAACTAAACTTTAACATGTGGCTGGACCCAAAAGTGGACCTAAATGTTTGTGATTAATAGTGTTGTGCTATAGTTATTTTTTTTTTTCTTAGTAAATTGGTTACATTTGGTTTCTGTGGCAGTAGGGTAGGGGATAAAGTGAGTATCAGAGTGTCTGGATCCTCCATCACAGGTCTGAGCCCCAGCCTTTTGACCTTTACTGCAGACTTTCCAGGTTCTGAAAAAAGGGAAACATCTACATGACTGTGGTCGGTGCAAAGGAAAATCTAAATGAAATTGCAGTTTTGGTTAAAAAAATGCAAACAATTTAATGATAAAATAAACCGTTGCCTCTTTAAAATAATACTATCAGATGTATTTTGCTCTCCTGCACAAAAAATATGCAGCAAAATCTTAGGAAAAAAATCTTATTTTTCCAAGAACGGTGAAATAAGAGAAGCTGAAATGATGCAGCCTGCAGGCCATCTGGGATGTGAATTGTCTTTTCATTGTTATGCTCCACTTACTCTTCTCTTATCTCAATTTATGACTCACCCTCTTAATGCATTCTCATTTTTCCTTCCCCGCCTCCTCTTCCATTCTTTATTTCCTCCATCTGCAGCTATCATTTGTCGTGCGCATTGTCCCCAGTCCAGACTGGTTTGTGGGTGCAGACAGCATTGACCTGTGTGATGGTGACCACTGGAAAGACAAAGTCACCTTGGAGCTTTTCCCATACGATGCAGGAACTGACAGCGGGTTCACCTTCTCTTCTCCCAACTTCGAGACTATCCCACAGGACAGAATCATGCAGGTGAGCCAAGAGCAACAGCGCATCCATCAAAAGTGAAAACCACAAACTTTCTGAGCCAGTCCAGAGTTCAAAACGTAGTCAGAGAAAAGAGTTTTTGTCAAATATGTTGCCAACCAATGATTCATTTTGCGCTTAACCTCCTGCCTATTTTGTCTTGGTTGCTCTTAACTGTGCAAACTTTATATTATTAGAATAGAAAGATGAGAGCAACGGTTGCACTCATATTTTCTTGTTTTCCTTTTCACAGATCACCTCATCCTTCCCGAGCCATCCTGCCAATTCCTTCTTCTATCCCCGCTTGAAGCATTTACCGCCCATTGCCAAGGTCACACTGACAAAAATAAAGAAAACAAATCAAATCATCAGTCTGCCTCTGGAGCCCACCCAGTCCAACCTGCTGCCAACAGGAAATGAGATTGAAGAAAAGATGATAAGTAAGTGTGGGAGGAAAAAACCAATGCATGCCTTCTTAAGATCACTTAAACATCTTTGAAGGTACAGAAAATGTGTCTCTCTTTTAAGGATTCAACAATTTACTATATATGATACATATTGAAAACACACCAGTAATAATGATTTATATAATACATGGTAACGGTTGTTTGTGTGAATCACATGTGATAGAACCGTAAGTATTTCATAACTGTAGTAGGAACCAAAAAAATGCTGCATATTTTTCTTTTTTTTACTCCTTTTATCCCAAAATAAAAATCCAGGGAAGGCAACTGTCTTTATAGGTAACTTTGTTGAACAGATTAAATTTAATTCAGTTTACTGTATCTATATAGCGCCAATTCACAACACATGTCATCACAAGGCATTTTACAGACAGTGACAGAGACAGTTCAACCAGATCATAACGTCACATTGACGTTATGATCTGGCTGAATTGAATTGAATTGAGATTAAACTATATACTGCAGAATGGGAGAATAGAAATAGAATGAAGCAGAATGAGGAAAAGTGTTCCCTATGTCCTCCAGCAGTCTAAGCCTATAGCAGAAAAAAACAGAAACTAGCTCAGGATAACCAAAGTTTTTTGATAAGGTATAAGAAAGGTAGAGCCATAGTGAGGCCAAGGTAGAGCCATGGGGAAACGTCAATCCCAACAGAAATTCTCCCCCGCTGAATCGGGCTGTTAACGCTCTACATGCACCTACCTCTCAGCTTACCCAGCGACTAAGCACACATCACAAATACAACTCATGAGGCATCACTAAGACCAGGACATGTCTGGTTCAGTTTAAAGCAGGGTTGGGTTTAAAAAAACAACAGTTCAGGCTGTGAACATCTCCCAGACCTCTGAATAATCCATTATCCTAACATGGAGAGACGATGCACCACCTACTGACTTACCAAAACATGGATGTCCACCTAGACCTGGCATGTCCAAAGTTAGTCCTTCAGGGCCAGTATCCTGCATGTTTTGGATGTGTCTCTGCTCTAACACCCCTGGTAAAGATGGCTGCAGTATAGCAAAAGCCGATTAATCAATCATTCATGAAACGGTGCTCTGCTAAAGCAGGGAAACATCTAAAACCTGCAGGGCACCCCTGACCTAGAGCACTGTTCAGAGAAGCAGTCAAAGAGTCCTGGTGGATACAAACCCTAAGAGAACTGCAGCTGTAATTCCACTTCATCTCAGAGAGGGTGATGTCACCATTCATAGATTTTGATTTGTTCCAGTTCGTTCTGTTATTTCTATTTAACAATTATCTTCTACTTTGTATTTTTCTATCAGATCAGATCTCAAAAAAACAAAGCTCAAATCTCTTGACTAATCACAGAATAACTTTGCACTGATCACAGCCCAGTGAAAAACAGATCAATCCATCATAGAACCAAAAGAAGGATGTTGTGTTTTTAAAAAGCACCCCTCTGTTTAATAATTTCACAATAATACAGAAAAAAAAAAGTCAATACTAGTCTGTCCGGACCCCTGCTGTCATTTGGGAAACATTAGAGGCCACCCACATAGACTTAATTACTTGCAACCATAAACCGAAGGAGAAGCCAGTGGCGGGCAGGGCACCAGAAATCACCAGGGGGCACATCTGCTCTCCAGTGGAACAGGAAAATCTAAAGGGGGGAAGAATACGGGGCAATTATTTACAGTAGAAATGAGGGTTAGACACATGATGGGGCACAGACTCTCATCCCTAAGGCTGAACTGGATTCACCAAGTACTGGCCACCAGATCCTCCAAGGCTTCGCTCACACATGGTAGCAATTAAGAGTCAAACAAGTTGGTAAAGTAAAAGAAGAGAGACTGGAACAAAAGGGCAGTAGATCAACTGAGCTGGTCGCCTGACTGAAACCCAAACCCTCTCCTCTCCTCTCCAGAACTTCTAAATATACCTGAGCAGCAAAAAGACACGGAAAGCTACCTGGCAAAGCAGCCAACTGTGCTGTAATCAATAATTTTAGTGTTTAACGTGACAGTAAAAGGTTTGAGTCAGCCTGTTCCCCTGGCTACATGGCAACAAACAGCAAATGGTGGCCAAAAAGCTGCTGGTGTTTCCTGCCCTAAATCCCAGAGCTCCATACTGCTCCTCCATCTGTTTATCCCTCAATTCGGCTTGTCTGGAGCACGTCTCTTGAGTGTATGCCCATGCTTTCCTTCAATACAACCAATCACCTGCTCAGCATTTGATCTGAGAAAGAAAACTCAAACCATGCTTTATCAGCTCATCCTTTTGTTTCCCAACAATAGAAAGCCGTGATAAAAAGAAACATTAAAGTCAGCCTCGCCTGACATTCTGCATCCATCCACCCAACTCTGCAACTTCCATACCGCCTCCAAACCTTCTGCTTTTCCACTTTGAAACCCACAACTGTAATACACATCCGCTCTACCTAAACTCTAAAGGTGGTTGGATGCAGCAGGGGAAGTTCAGAGAGTCAGTAAAAAGAAAACCAAAAAGCAAAGGAGGAATAAGAGGCTTTTCCTTCAGTTTACAAGAACAATAAATGAAGGAAACAGCCGTTTTCCACTACTTAGGTTTATGGTGCTCTTTAGCAAAGAAAGCAGCCAAAAACACTCAACGAATGATTGAAGGTAAATCCAAATTAAAAGCACCTCCATCAGCTCAGTCAGAGACAGCAGGTTTTTATAAACTGCTGCACAGCTCACATGGCAACGGTTACTGTAAGTACATGTTTTTGTTTTATTTGCCGTTAAACACAAATAAATCCTGGAGGGAAGCTATGTTTTTTTTCCATTACAGCCAAGTTTTATTATTTCTATCCGAACTCATAAAACAATCCTTCAGACATAAAACAGAGTTGTGTTGCACAGCAGGAGGTAAGATATATTTGTCTGTCAGCCTGCCCTGACTCTAATGTCCTTTTTTGCACAGACACCCCTCTGGACTGTGAGGTGTCACCATGGTCCCCATGGGGCTTGTGCAAAGGCAAGTGTGGAGACTCAGGTGTCCAGCACCGCACCAGATACGTCATCATGCACCCAGCCAACAACGGCGCAGCCTGCCCCCTGCTGGAGGAGGAGAGGAAGTGCTCCCCGGACAACTGTTTATGACTAGGCCAGGGCCGGAGAGAGAGGAAGGAGAGGAAGGAGAGGAGGAAGAAAAAAGACAGGAAAGGAAGGAATGGCCGCAGACGTTCAAAGAACCACAAAAGGTCTACAGTTTATTCACACGAGGCGTAAACAGACATTATTTGTCTCTGATGTTGATTAAACCAAGAAAGAATTCCCACCCTGAGTCATTCTAATAGACATATCAGTACTAAACAGGTGTAGTGTAGCAATAGTCTTATAGACACCAACTTAGTTTTGATAAATTATCGAAATGACTTAAGATGGGATGACAGAGAGGAAAATTTGAAAACACATGGGTATTAAATGTGGTGTTAAAAATTGAAATCCTACCAAATTACATTTGACCAAAACTAAATCTTCATAAGAGCAGAACTGACATGTGCAGCTTATTTACAAACATACTGGGTTTGAGTGGCTTTCCTTCAGAAAAGGAATATTTATTGACAGGATTTTAACCTGTTTTGTACAGTTTCCCAAGTCTAAAAGTATTAAATTGTATTCATTTTTAACATTGAGATATATGTCTAACGGTTTTTGTGTAAATCGATAAAAAAAAATGTAAGAATGTCACAAAAAAATCTGTTTTTTTTTTTGTATAGTTAATAAAGTGTCAGTGTATCAAATGGAGTTGAGCTGGTTTTGTCATTATTACCATAGCACACTGCTGTTTGGAAAAAAAAGTAGAAATAAATGAAAAAAAGACTGATACCAGAGAGAGACAATATATGAAGCATTGCTGGCAGACGGCTTTAATGATGCAGAACCAAAATGATCTTCATGGGGAGATACATGATTTTATTATGTGGCACATACAGATATTTCCTTTTACCAATGAAAAGCTACACATTTTGGTGTTTTTTTATTTGGGAAACTATGAAACCCCTAAAGTTTCATAAAGACCATGTGACAGCCTGCTGTCACACTCTGAAACTGTGTGCTGACTTCTATAATTTTTCATTTTCAAAATGAGTTTAACATTTCATATATTTTCATTAGCGTGACTTTAAGTTAGCTTTTTGCAGTGCCAACATTTAGTTAACTTTATTTGTCAGGTGTTTTTTTTTTGTCAAGATGCAATTGATTAATTTATTTTTTTTCTTTGAGTTGCCAGTTTCCTTTGGATCTGCTGGTGGAGGGCTGCAATGAGCTCCAGCTTTCCTCAGTTGGTTATTGCAGACTAATCAGCTGATCAAACCATTTGTAATGGGAAGGGAAATTTGTTTATCATTTCTTTAAATATTCTTAGTTTGGGTAATTTTGTTAATTAGTTAAATTTAAAAAGTACTGCAAATCTGTTTAAATAAGTTTATTAGTTTGTTAGTCAGTTATCCCCCTTGTGTCTCAACAGTGGTCTGATCAGCGACTATTGAAGTTTCCCTCACGTCTTGTTTGGTCAGTTTGTGCTTGAGTTCCTTAAGTTAAAACCTGAATTGAATTCTGTTTTGTTGACCTCTGTTTTTGGGCCCAGTTTATAATTTTTTGAACACTTTTTTTGGAATAAATTAAAACTTTTTTTGGGGAAAAATTTCAGTGGTTTTCTGGCTGGTTTGTGCAAATCCCTCACAGACCATTAGTGCAGCAGACAAGTCAGGAAGGAAGACCTGGTTCAGTTTAAAACAGTATTAGGTTCTGGCCAGCAACTCTCTTGAAGCTCAGAGATACTTCATAGGTACCGAGTCATAAGAGGTGCTACCAGTGCTGACCTATGAACTGGGAGAGTCTGCCTTTCACTAAACTTAATGTGAAAGAAACATGTTTTTAATGTTTAGTTTAGAAATTGTCTTTTCAAAAACTACATAAATGAAAAAAGAAGATTAACAGGTAAAATCTCCCAGCAAAAACTCAGCATCTGGTGGGTTGTTCTGTCAATAAAAGAGGAATTAGGGAACCTCATGTGGTCCTTGGGTGGGACTCTGGTGACCGTGGGCAACGTGTTGTCGACCACTGTTTTTAGTACAATCTTCCAAGCTTTCATCTGGACAATCCATCATCTGGACATGGAAAGAAGATGGGCCACCTGCAGACTCACCATAGTCATTCAAGAGGAGCTGCATGTTTGGTTTTAATATTACAAAAACAATCAGCTGGTACAACTGCCTTTTCTCTAAATGAATCACTATTCAATTATCAGCATGTTTGGACCCTCAGGCTGTCCTTTGCAAAGCTCTTCTTTGGTGCTTTGAGCCTAGGAAATATGCCATCCTTTGCAGAGCCAGACTAGGATAAGCCGTGTAGGCAAAGGAGATAAAAACAACACGTTGAAGAAGGTGCAAAAATCAGATGAGACCTAAACTGAACTATTCTGTCCAACATGCAGGGGCACAAATAGTGCTGACAATGCACATCACCATGAATGTGCATTGTCCACTGTAAGATATACTGTAGTGGTGACAGCGTCATGTGGGGATGGGAAGTCCGTCTCACTTAAATACAGAACATTACTAGAAAAAAAAACAATCTTTTAGACGTTTCACTTGATTCTTATTTGAATCAGGAGGTCTTCCACATCCTTCTTTCTTTTTGTTTCCTGTTAGACGCTGATCTTGCTTTCATCTGTAAAGAGAATGTTCCCCTTTAGACATTTATTGGCAGAGTTCAATCAAGACTTTCAACTTTTGAGGCTCCCAAAAGACCTCATGTATTCACTTCCATGCAGTTTTCTCTCCATGGTGATTCTAGGTATCAAAAAAGCCCTTTATTCTTTTGCTGTGAAAGGGGTTTTCTTCTTTATGGAAAAAATTCTTCTACCCATGTTTTCTGTTGCTATACAGGTACTTTTGGTCAGCTGAGTCTCTCTCTACTGAGGTACCAAACTTTTTTTCTAGGGCTGAGCAATTCATTGGATCTGCAATGTAATCACAATTTAAGATAATGTGATTTTCAAATCGCAAAGGCACTCAATTTTTGTCACGTTACATTTAACAGATGTAAGACTTTCTCACTGCAGCCCTTTAAGTAATATATCGAAATGGTTTTGCTTCCACAATAAAAGGAATTAAACATCCAGCTAGCACTTAGATTTACAGTATGCATGTTGCTTTGGACAAGCAAGATTTCAAGTGAATGACAAAACTGATGCTAATAACAAAGTAAAGTTGCAATTACAATATTGGTAGATTTTGATTTTTAGCAAAGTCATTCTGGCCTACTTTTTCCACTACTAATACTCTGGGTATACTGTATCTCAGATGGTCGTCTGCTGCTGTTAAGACTGAAGGATGACTTGTTTCAGAGACTAACTGTCAGTTAGTTTTGGACAATTGAAAAAGATGGAAGCCCACCGTAAGCTGCTGAATCTCTTTAACCCTTCTTCCAAATAAGCTTTTAAATAAAAACCGAGTCTGCACATTAAATTAGTGTACTTTACATAGCTAAAACTTGTTAGTGATACAGTAAACAGAGAGCTCTCATGAGAGTCCAAGAATGGACAGATCTACCTGTGGTATAAAAAGAGGAATGGTCAAAAATGCCAATATCAGGATGATCTAATTGAGAAACACATTTAGTGGAATGTCAGCTTTTGGTAAATTGTGGTATTTTTTGTGCTTGGTCATTTCTATACATCAGTTCCTCTCATTTATGGACAGAAAAAGGTTAAATTAGTAAAGTGTCCTGCTGTGTCAAACACAGAAAAATGGCATCCCTAACATTATGTCTGACTCTGTATGTCAGACCTAATGTGGATTGTATTAGTGCCACAATACCTCGTCTGTTTTGGGAAAATAAGTAATATTTTAAGAAAATGAAGCTTTGCTATTGGTTCTTAGATCAACCAATCACAGGGCAGCCAGAATGACTCGTCACATAAAGTAGCACCTGTGCGTTTCTCACGGTTAAACTGACCCCTTTAGTTTCTCACTTGGACAGTTATATGAGGCAGCAATAAAGTGTGAGTTAGACTAACCTTTATTAGTCAAACATTTCAGCGTTGTCAGAGAACAAAATGAGTCTTCAGGTCGGCTTTCTCCTCCAGTGTTACCTGATGTTGGCTGCAGGGATGTATTTTTATCTGGGAGAGAAGGAGCAAAAGTGCATCATTGAGGAGATTCCTGAAGACACTCTAGTGTCAGGTGAGTCTCAAAACATCTCCCAGAGCAGAATTTCTGTTGTTAAATGTGCCAAAATAATCTTAATCTGTAACTAACCAATAACATCAAACAACAAGTGCACCTCAGTAAACGTCTGCACTTTACCTCAGCAGTCATAGTAGCTAGTTTCATTCATGTCTCTGAGAAACTGACTCCATCTTTACTAAAAAGTCATTTAAAAACTCCTAAAATATATTAAAACTCAATGAAGTGGACAAACTTTTCCAAAAATGTTTTAAAAGTTTCCATATCAAAATATTTTACGACAGTAGGACCATGCTACATTTAAACCTTTATAAAAAAATACATTTACTTATTCTAACTTTGATCAGGACCGCTGGAAGTAATTTTGAACAGGGTTTTTTTTTTTTTGACAAAAGACTTATGAGCCTATAGGCTTATTTGAAATACAATAAAAAGAAATAAGTAAATAGATTGAGATTCACTACTATATTGTCATATACACTTCAGTGCACCTAATCAGGGTCTGTAACACTCAGACATCATCAGTTCTCTGTTGAATATACACACTATTAATTAAACTTCACAGTAACAATATAAAAAAACACGTGACTCTATTAGCTCCAAAATCCTTTTACGCAAACCACAAGGAAATACTTATATTATTATACTATTTTAATGTTATTGAACAATTCTCCATTACACAAAGAACACATTATCAAAATAACACTCTAAAATAGCACCATGCTCTTACTGTACTTGGAGCTACAGGTAGGGTGCCCTGCCTGGTTACCAAATGTCCTAATGTTCAGGTACGCTTTCAGGTTGTGGATATAAAGTCTCTCATGAGCAGACAAATCTGAAATGCGTTTCTGTGCCCTATTTCCTCCTTGTTTCTGTCATTAGACTATGTACATTTACTGGTAGTGTTGCACAGATACCGATACCAGTATCGGAAAGGTCCCTGATCCAGCACTAAAATGGTGGTATCGGTATCGGCGAGTACCGACAAATAGGGCATCGATTCCATTATAAGAGGCAAAAGTTTATTCAACTATTGTCACCCATTCCAGGTAGGCAATAAAAAGTTCTACTGGATTCACTTTGTATTAGTCTTTTTCCTGCTTCACAAAGGTAGGCAGCAGCTTAACAAAGCCATGATGGCAATTATTTTACAACCAAGTAGTATGCAGTTCTTCATATATACACACACGTCAGTTTCAAACAGATGGTATCGATATGGTATCGGTATCGACTGGTACGGCAAAGCCAGGTATCAGATATCAGTAAGGGGGACAAAAAATTGCATCAGCGCAACAGTATTTACTAGGCTGCTGCTGCGAGCGGGATACCTCTTTAGTCAGACCACTACCTTGCTTGACATTGCCTTGACAATGTAACTTCCGTGACCTTGGGTTGATTGGGCCTCAAAATAATTAAATAAAAATCCAAATACACGTAATAGTAAAATACAAAAAGTCAAAATCATTTCCCAAAATATTCATAAGAAATGTATAAATTGGGCAAAGTATTTTTAATACATTTGTTTAAACCTCCCTTACGCCACTAGGGGTTGCTGCAGCACCCGCACTTCCTGCGGCCATGATTTCGATTGTATTCATTCAGGTGGAGAAAACAAGATCATAAGTCAGTGATGGGGAGAGGGGAAAATATCTCCAAACTTGTTTGAAAGTTAAAGATGTCACCATATGTCACCATAGCAACCATGCCAAATGGTTATTATGGAGCAGTGCTGCGAAAACACATTCTCCGTCTTACAATCACAAATATAAACATGGAGTTTGCTGCCGTTCAGTTTAACACAACAAAGTTTGTACCTCTATAACTCAGATATGAAATAATGATGATGACAACAGGAGGTTATTACAGAGTACTGAGCATTGCTTTATTTGGTTTGTGTCTCCTACCTGAAGGCAACTTCTTCTTAGAGCCTTTGGATGTGAGGTCATTCAGCCACTCGCCTCACCTTGGTGTCACCATTACAGTAAGAGACCCAAGCTATGAGGTACGAACACGACCTTTGTCTCCATTACGATGTAGCACGCTGTGTGTTTGGTACCGAATCAAGGTATAATAAAAAATGTAGAATGAGACATGAAACACATTTTGCACGTCACTGAGATCCTAACGAGCTGTTTGTCTAATTAGAACAGCGGATTTGAGTTTTACCTTAATGATTTTTGTTTCACACACAAAACTCTATCTACATTTTACCTTAAAGTTAACTTACCTTCAGCTCATAAAGATGCCTACATATCATTCTCTGCAACAACAGAAACATTTTTGACTCACTTGAGGGGACAGAATCCAATTTCTGACCAGTAACACACATTTTTTCCCACAAGACACAAGATATATATATCCAGATAAAGTATCAGGGAAAAGTCATAGAGTTTGAGTTTTTCTTCTCTCTCCAGCTTCAGATGTCCAAACGCTACGGAGCGTTTGGAAAGTTCACCTTCACAGCTCACGCTTCTGGTCAGCACTATCTCTGCTTCCAAACCAACTCCACAAGGTTTTCTGTCTTTGCAGCAGAACGGCTGGTGAGACCTGTGGAAGCAGGGAAAAAAAATATATTAATTGGAAAATTAATTGGAAAAAAAAGAAGTGCAGATTATTTCCATTCCTCTCAATGCTCACCCTTTTGTTTCACAGAAGCTGCATTTAGACGTTCAGATGGGGGAGCACTCGATTGATCCAAATGTTGACAGAACCAAAGACAACTTGCAAACCCTTGAAAGCAATCTCCAACATCTCATTAGTCAGATGACCTACATCACCAGCCAGCAGGAGTACAACAGGGTAGGATTTATGCTCTTTGTTTACAAAAACATCCTTTACTGATTCCAGAACCTCCTAAAAAAAAATTCAAGAATTACCATTATTCCTGCTTTTTCATTTAGGAAAAGGAGGAACTTTTTCGTGAAATCAGTGAAGAAACCAACAGCAAAGTGTTGTGGTGGGCTGTGATACAAACCTTCATTCTTCTCTCCGTTGGCTTCTGGCAGATGAAGCGACTCAAAGACTTCTTCATAGCCAAAAAACTGGTGTGATGATGACTTTTGTAAGAAAAAATAAACGGATCTCCTTGTCATTACTATGTGGATCCCTATCCTCATCCCTAGCTTATTTCTGTTCCATCATATAAACATTCTTTTAGGACTTGAAGTGGAAAATCAAGGCACTTGCATTTGAGATAATTAAAAATGTACGGTACAATTACACTGGGGAAAATGAACAATGGATTAACAAAATAAATGATTGTCTTTTTGAATAAAATTTATTTTTACTACTTTACATACTTTTGTGTCTATTTTAAAGTTACTTATGATGTTCATTTAATGATCAAAATGTATTAGTCAGTGATTTGATAGTTCCACAAAATAAAGTGTTAATGTTTCCTTAAAACAAGGTTTAGCTGCATTTGATTAAATATATTTATTAAGGAAATTTTTTATTTAATTCATTACTGTGTTCAATTTTCTGTTAATATTTTTTCATTTAATGTTTTCAATAGGCATATCAAATAAGCAAATTTTTAGGTTGTTTAATTTTGGAGCTTACACTGGGCCATCACAACCATCACTAAACAGCTCCTTTCAGATATTGGTCGATTCAGTGGACTTAAGAAGTGATAATCATCTAAAACTCCATTTACGGCACCAGGTACATTGTACATCGTAAACTAGCTCTGAGAATCACACTTAAGATTTTGTCCTACATTTTGCTTCAAGTGTGAGTGACACACTAGATAAATAATATTTTGAGTACAGCTTTTAACTTAACTTTTAACTATGTATTTTTTTGCTCTTAAGTCTAAAGACTGATCTCAAGACTTATTCCAAGATATTTGTTATCTATGGCCCCAGGTCATTAACTAGCAGGCATATGGAGAAACTGACTGCAGAGGAGGTTGTTCAGCCAAATAATTCAGGTGTTTGGAAGCAGAAACATCTTAAAAAGGTGCAGGAACCAGATGTTTGTTCCAAAACAGGCAGTGTTTTATGGTGAGAAGGCTAAAAAACACTACATTGTATTAAAACAGTTATTTCCTTTAGAAGATATGCACATCATGAAGTACTTTAAAACTTCTCCTTCCAGGCTTGAAAAGAGAAAGGACAGCATGCTAGAGCACCGATAGCAGTCATCATTACCCCACACTGAGCTGAGTGGGAAGAAAAGAAGCCCAAGCACAACTGATTGGAGTAACTTTGTGGATGTGTAATTTTATTAAGGGCAGGATCTTAGGGGAGTGGGGGCATAGTGGTTAGGGAATAGAGCTTCTGAGGTTCTGAGTTCGAGCTCTACTCTCACAGACTGCCTCTCTGGTTCTCTGAGCAAGACCCTTAACCACTGATTGCTCCCCGGGCACCCCATGATGGTAGCCCACTGCTCCCCAAGGGGATGGGTTAAATGCAGAGGTAAATTTCTTCAATGTGAGATCAATAAATTTTTATTATTTTTTTGCATTTTATTATTATCTTTAACACCTGACCACAGCCTTCTGAATGATTTATTTCTCCTCAAACCTTTTAAATTTCTTTTTCGTTACTGATCTATCTGAGACTTATAGATGCAGAATTCATGTTAAATTAGTTTAAATTCCTGTTAAATTAATGAATCGGTGAATTATCAAACCCACCTTTAAGTTCTATAAATATGCAAGTAAAAGTATTGTTGTTATATTTTACGGCTAAGTGTTGTTATTGTGCGTCAGTTTCCAAAAGATGTGAGGAAAGGTTTCCTGTTAGTTAGTCTTCAGTGCTATAGTAGTAATCATCATCATCACTATGTACTGATGTCAGATGTTGTTTCTCTGTTCCACATGCTGATAGTGCATCACATTGCTCAAATAACAATCCAGTTAGATAATAGCAGCACAACAAAGAACATTTTCTAGAAATTTTTTTTCTTTTTTCTTTCTAAGAAATATCTATAGTGTGAATACCCTGTGAGTATGTAAGATAAAAAAGTTTGTCGACTGTCAATATGTTCAGAAATCAGAAATTCTCAGGTGGAAAAGCTTTAGTTTTACTTGCTTTAATTTTGTAAAAAAGGTTTGTTTCCTCCAAATGTCTCAACAAATAAATTAAAATAGGATGCTTGTTTCTGTGTGTGGTAGTTTTGGGGTGGGGGGGCTGAATTAATCCAAATTTATTAAAATTGATCTGGGGATAAAAACAAAAAAACAAAAAAAAAAAACAAACAAACATTTTTTGCACACCTTTGCTTCCCTGGTTGTTGATTTTGCTATTCTCCAAATTCCTCAAAAAAGATATGAAAAAAATTGCCTCATATTCATCCTATTTTTACTGCCACATAATTGTCTTTTGGTTTTAATTAATATATGTAAGTTGTCCAGACTTTGAGGATGTCGTTTTACAGCAATAATGTTTCTATCTATTAAATAAATACAAATTTTTTTCTTATTTATTTATTTAAGTTTAACTATGTGCATTATTTTTTTTAAAGCACAATTTTTCATATTCGATACAGAAATAAATAAGAAAAAAATAGGCATACAATTAATTTAACTCTAAAATTACAATAAACAAATAAATGTAGATAGAAATAAAATTATACAGTGAGATATAAATGTGTATATCTCTTTTAATTAGCTTCTTTGTTTATTCACCTTTGTAATTATTACCTTATTTATTGTTTGTTATAAACTTCAACTTTATTTATGTATTACTTATTTTTTAAGTATTTATTTATTTGCATGTTATAATATTTTTGTCTGGTTTATTCTTCCTTTGTATTGTTTTTACCCTATTTATTTAATACCCTATTTATTATTTTAATTTAATTATAAAATCCCGGCTGCTAACCAACCAATGGGGAGAAGTTGAGCCCTTAAGACACACCCCTCCTCATTTGCATAATGAGGCAGAAATGCATACAGAAATGTAAATACGACAGGCAGAAATACATAGCACTGCAGAAATAAATAGGGTACAAAAAATACAAAGGAAGAATAAACCAGAAAAAAATATAATAACATGCACACAAATAAATACTTTAAAAAAAAAATCAGAAATACATAAATAAAGTTGAAGATTATAACAGACAATAAATAAATAAGGTAATTATTGCAAAGGTGAAAAAAACAAAGAAGCAAATTAAAAGAGATATATACATTTATGTCTCAATGTATAATTTAATTTCTATCTGCATTTATTTTTTTATAGTATTTTTGGGGGGCAATTAATTTTAAGCTTATTTATTTTCGGAGCATTTATTTATTTCTGTATTTATTTTTAGTTAGTTTTTTAGTTTTAGTGGCAGGATTGGTCCTCCATACACGGGAACGCGCAAATTAAGTAAAAAGTGGGTGGAGCGAGCTTCACGCAGCTTGGCAGGTGTCATCGAAGAAGAAGTAGAGGAAGAAGAAAATCAGAAATGAAAAAGAAGAAAAACTGACCGATAATTATGTGAAATTATATTAATAAATTCAAAAGACCTGCTGATTACAGACTTATAACAGGTAATTAACAATGAAACAAATACATGAATTAACTTTTGATTAATTTGTTGGCATAATGTTAGCATGCTAAGTTAGCTCTTAGCTTCCCTTTAGAGTAATCTGAACATTGTTGCCTGCTACTGCCTGAAACAAAGATTCAGTGCTAAAACCAACAAAGAAAATCAGATACACCAATAATTTCTCAATAATATAATACTGATTTTATTCACTTTCAGGTCTGCTAATGTCTTACTGGGTCTGCTGCAACTCCTGCTTTCTCCCTCCAAGTTCTGAGTGTAAGCTAGCAGTGAGCTCCTGTGGCCATGTCATCTGTAGTGTCTGCTATCAGAAAGGTAGAAACACTTTAGTTTGCTTGTAATGTTTATGGGCTACAGATCTACTGCTCTGATCAGAGAGAAACATCCATTTTAAGGCTTTATGGGAGTGTTAGTTTTTATGATTAAAGCAGAGTTTAAATCCCACAACACCCTCAGTCCCAGATTGCTCGATGCTGGCCATTGCGCCTTAGGGGAAGAGTTAAATTCAGTGTATTCTCATTATGAGTTCGTATGAAATCGTACGAAAAGTTATGCAAGTTATGCACCGTAATTTCGTACGTTTTGGACTTTTTTTTCGTCGTATGCGCATGCGCATCTTACGCACCATTCAAGAACATAGAATTTAAAATACAATTA